ACACTTCAATTGAAACTCCGTTGGTCAGCAAATTGGCCCATTGGTATTCACTTCTACAATACCTCAATCTCAATCTTTCTTAACTAACAAGCTTTCTGAAGTAATGAAACTTCATCTCAATATACTTGCTTCTTCCATGTACAGTTGGATTCTTAGCAAGGTTTATAGTGAAAATGTTATCAATCATGAGTGTTAAACTATCACCCTATTTGTTACCCATCTCCTTCAAGTGATTCTTTAACCACGCGACTTTAACAACTTGAGCTTATTTTCCATATTAAATTCACTATCTACATAGCATAAGCTTTTGAATTCTAAAGACTAATTCTACGATTTGTAAAAGAATATAAATTATGCAAAAGGTTAACAATAAATTATGCATATGTTGGTTTAGCTTTACCAAATAAAAGAACATCGTCCGCAAATAACAAATGAAATATTTTTAGCCCATCATTTGTAAGTTGTATGAGATGCAAATCTCCATCTTGAACAGACTTCTCAATCATGTCACACAGTTTCTCCATTTAAAGTAAAAAAAAAAAAGGAATTTCTTAATGCACCCTATATATTACTTAGGCACCATGCAAAAATACTAAAATGCCCCTCAGATTCCAGAGATGCATCTTCGGACTCAAAAAAATTCGGAGATTCATTTTCGGAATTTTCAACAAATACATTAATAGTTGATCAGCTCAGTGGACATTTCGGAGATGCATCTTCGAAAGTTTGGGGCAGGATTTTTGAAATTTGTTGTCACCTTTGCATGTCAGATATTTTCGGAGATGCATATCTAAAATAATTTGATAAAACACTTAGTTGCACGATCGCACATCCATACTTGTTTTTCACTCAAAACCCTCACCAAAATATTTCCATTCTCAATCCATATTTTCACTATAAATCTTCAATCTTGTGTTTCATCACATCAATGAAAGTAAAAGAAGTTAGTATTCCAGGTAAAGATCATTTATTTCAAGCCTCATTGCTCACATTAATCGTGTTTTCTGTCTAAAACTAGCATTTTTTCTGGAGATACATTTCCAGAACGAGCATGAACTTACCCAAAAATGCATTTTCGGTATCTCTCTGTATTCATTTTTCAGCTCTGTTTACAACATTAGTGTTTATTTACTTTTATGTGGTAATTATTTTCATTAGATATGACGCACCCTGATGCTTTCCTCAAACAAGTTATGTCTCCCACTGTTAAAGGTGTTATTGTGAAGGTGATAGATATTGGCAACTGATTTAAAAATGAGGAAGAGTTTTAATCTCATGATCACATGCTTTAATGGATTCGTACGAAGACCTTCAAACTAGAATTTGGTGTGGTTATTGGAAGGTCCAATAATGGTTCGAAAAGAAGATTTTCTTTTGAGACAATGATATGCGAAAGAAACAGGAAATATAGACCTTCTCTCTGAAAATTTAAATAAGACGACATTGATTCAAGAAAATGTGAGTGTCCCTTTAAGGTGTGTGGTTATATGTTGGCAAACAATAACTAGAGATTTAATATCATGTGTGGTTTGTATAACCATGATTTGTGAGAAAAGTTATTCAGCCATCCAATTGTGTGTCGCCTCATGTCGGAAGAGAATGAATGTATTACTGACATGACATTGAATTGATTTCAATCAAAAAATATACTGGCAACTTTGAAACATAAAAGATCAAAAAATATCTCAAATATTAAACAGGTGTACAAAATTCAATATCAAACTAACAAAGTGCTTAAGAGAGGTAGAAGTGAAATACAACAACTCTTGAACTAAAATACTACTCATAATTAGTGAAGTCACAATGAAAGGGAAATCAAAGTAGCGAAGAGTGACTTGGAGAAAATCTCAATTAACTATATTCTACATTTTCTCCAAATCTATTTTATAGATAACATCTTCGCTCTTCTTCTTGATTTTATGAATGTGATAAATGAACTTTTGAAAAACAATAGCATTATCTATTGTTCCTTTCTCAAAAATAAAACTACTTTGAAAAAAGGCTAACAATATGATTAAGCATCGGTGTAAGGTGATTGATAAGAATCTCAAGTATAATTCACAAATTACATTACACAAATGGGTCAACCTTAGAAATAAGTAACATAAGGGTGTGTTTGGTTCAAATGAGAAAGAGGGGAGGGGGAGATTTTAATGGAGGGAAGGGAATGGGAGGGGAGGTGAGGGGATTTTTTTATTATATATATGTTTGGTTCAAAAGAGGGTAGGGGAGGAAAAATGAAGGATTTTAATTAAAAATATGTTTGGTTCATATGTATAACACTTGTGTGATTTACTTACAAGTATTATAGTTGATTGGCAAGACATATTGAGGCACAGAAGGATTGCATAAGACGTATCGGTTCGAAGGGAGAAAACTCAACCATCGCATGCACATGTTGTTTCTAGCTCGATTGTTACGGAGGCGCAAACGTTTGGGGCTCATGCATCCACGCCTTCATCTTCCCATAGAAGAAAGGTGTCACATACTCATGCATCTCCACATTTGTCTTCCCGTAGGAGAAAGGTTTCACTTATTTAGGAACCAGAGATACCTGAGGTACCGGAGAACCCACAAGCTCAGAAGGCACCCGAGGGGTCTGGATGAGGCCCATCAGACTTATCACTACTGTCTCTTTACCTGGACCATACTACCAGACATGTTTGGGAATGAGAGGTAAAACTCAGTTTGATTCATTCTTTGTAAATCACGTTTGTTATAATATTTAAAGTTTTCGGCGATGATATATTTTTCCGCAAGACCGTGATGCTTTAAAATCCATCAACTATGGACAAAAGCTTACGGGTCTAGAGCAGCTTAATGAGGAATGATTTCAGGATGCGCTGTGACTATCTTGGTTGAACAACATGTGTATGATTGATTATTGTACAATTAACCATGGTATGTTGTTTGCGTTTGTAAAGAAATGGCACTCGGGGACGCCAGGACTTCATCTTACACATGGTCAGATGTCGATCATATTGGACGATGTCTCGTACCTACATCTTTCGATTAGGGGGAAACTGTTTGATCACGACAAGATTAACAAAAATGATGCACTGGAGATGATGGTTGACTATATGAGAGTTGGATCCGGAGAAGCCATCAAGGAGCTAGAAGCCACCCGAGGGGCTCATGCTAGGTTTTGATTCCTTGAATGGATGTATACACATTAGTTGCAGGGAGCAGAGGAGGTCGTAGGTGATGACGGGAAGGTTGTGCAACATAGAGCATACTCTCTAAGAGCATACATGTTTTATTTAGTTGGCACGTCCATTATTGTGGACAAGAGTGCCACTTGTATGGATGTGATCTACTTGCGATACTTCGATGACTTCGAGCGGATCCATGAGTATAACTAGGGGAAACTTGTTTGGTCTACATATTCTCCAAGTTAGCTAAATGTTTTATATGGAAGACCAAACAAGTGACAGGCAGCATCACTCTATTGACGGTAATATTTCTGCATCTTTTAGTGTTTGTGTTTCATTTTCATAACACTTTTTCAACGCCATTACTAATGATTCATATGTTCCATTTTCAGGCCTGGATTCGCCAACACTTTCCCCACATATTCAACTAGTCATCTGTTTCGAATTACATTGGAGATATACCACATGCTTCTGCATTCAGCCCCGCTCAGAGGGAACCAGACGAAAGAACCATAACGAGTGTATCTTGATCGCTTGGTAGCAAAATATATACACTTTCATATGCATGGAAATCATTGTGAGGCGTGTATCTTTGACGACATAGTCGTATACTCGATATGGTTGGCTTGTGGTTCACGTCTAACGTATCCTTATCTGCCTGAGCGCATCATGCGGAAGTTCGACTACATGTAGTTTGTTCTCAAAGACCCCTTTGTTTATGCTCCTCCCGATATGACACATAGAGAGGTGGACGTTATGTTTGATGATTACCTTAATCATCGGGTACCAGATGAAGCGTGGAGTAACATAGCTCTTAGCGACTGGAGCGTTGCACACAACTACATTCGGTGGTTTTTCAAGGTGTCACATCCTTATACGATACAGGATGTTCCAAGAGATCCACCTAGATCAACTCATTAGGAGATACTAGAGAAGGAGCATGTTAGGGCAAATCATGTTGTTGATGTGTTGCCGATATGTTAGGGCAACTCATAGAGATCGGACAAGCGGGTATAGACAGTTGACTCTTTTTGAATGGCTCTGAGGTGAGGGACGTTCTAGATGCCATGATGGCAAAGACATTGCAGTACATAAGACAGTGTAGGAACAGGGGGGGTCGAGTCTGTCATACGCAGGAGTTTATGGTATTTGTACTTTTGATTTATTATCGATTGTATTTTATTTTGACTTATTTCAATTTTATTGTGTACTCTAGATTTATTAGTTTATATATGTCATTTTCATCACATCGGTTGTATGGTTAATTTATACAAAAAATTATACATATTGTCAAGTTCATCAGAGCAGCTATAAATCAAAGTCAAAAATTACTGACCGATATGATTTCGAAGATGCATTTTCAGATTGTGTCTGATGTGAATATAGAGATGCATCTCTAAATTATTTTATTTCAAAAAATGACATTTTAGTAAGATATGCATGAGGTGTGCATTTAGTTGTTCTATCTTCTAAATAACTTTTGAAAATATCTTGGATGTCCTTCAATTCTAAGGTTTTGAATGATGGTACATCCAAAGAAACATTTTTGAAATCTAGAGAACAATTTTGATTTTTATAAGGTGTTTTTCGACCACTTAAGTGAGATTAGCAATTCCCTAAATTAATTTTATTAATTTTGTGTGTATTGTATAGTGGTAAAATAAATGTATTGGATCAGCATATTATGGGGCTAATGTCCCTTATGGGCCTATAGTATACTCCTTCCTTAAAGAAGTGTTCAATGCACTTTAATTTTAAAGGAATGTTATTCGCACCCTCCTTGCTAATACAATTCCGGAACTTATAGACGTGATATTTTTACAGTTCTTTGAGTTCAAAATCATGGCTTCAAGACTGCCTCTTCATTGTAATGTCCTGCAAACAACAAAATTGTAAGTAAATAACATTACATAATTGACATTCTACGCATATTTACGGCTTCAAAAAGGTTATCTCTCGAGCTTACTTCACCAGCATTTACGGTAATGATATGCGGCATAAAGTTGGTTCCAACCGAGTCACCTGCAGAAGTAACAACAAGAGCTATTAACATAACTGAATTGAACTCTATTTTGATTAACAGCACCAAATGCATCAAAACAAATTTACCAAACAGATCAACTCCAACTTTCTTCGACTGCTTGAACTCCATCCCCTTTGGTTTCCCTTGCTTCCCCGACGAAAACTCACTAGAAAAAGGACCTGAAGATGAGATCGGCAAAGGCGATAACGCCATAGCAGAAACCGATCCGTCTGGCCCGTACTTCCTTGGCCTACCTCTTTTCTTCTTAATTTCCCCTCCATCCATTCCCAAACTCACCGGCGAGACACCAATAACTCCACCCCCTGATTCAGAAACAGGACCATGCTGGCTCGGAGCAACTTCACTCCTCGGCACCATATGATTGAACATCTATCAGACCAAATATATCTTAGTCTTGTTCTATTTTTCAATGTTTGACAAAATATATGACAGCATATATGTCGAAACCGAAACTTACCCGATTGTATTGGATCTTGCATGTATCCAATGAAGTTTGTGAAAGTTCAGGATATCTTTGCTTGAGGATATCTCATGCATTAACTTTATTATCAGTCTCAAATTTTTATAACTAACTTCAAGGGAATAAACAATAATTATGCGTTTCATCGAAGTTGCATGCTACTAGTACCTTATACGAAGTTATATCGTCCCGATTTCTACAAGACTCGGCTGCTATTATTGGCTTCCATAAAAAGCTTATCAAATTTGATGATAAATTCCAAGACATTTGCCTTATAGGGTCACATTTAAAGGAATCGTCAATCACTTGGCAATAGAATTTCAGCTGGAAAAAAGAAGTGCAGACTTATTCTGAGATTTCAACAGAAAATTTCAGACCAAAACTTTCAGAAACAAGAGAGATCTTCAAGTTTCAACAATGAGGACTAACTAACCTTTGGAAGATCGTCTATATATGTTTCTGGAATATCTATTTCTGTGAGAATGTTGCTATTTATTGCCATTGCGGCTTTATGAATTTGATTAGCACAGTCCCGTTTCTCAGTTAGATGCTTCCTTGACTTCTCCGAGAGGCCACCAGGGAGAACACAAGGAACTGGCAACTACTATTTCTCGTCTTTCCTTGGAACAATCTTTCGAAAAGAGGCTGCGCGCAAACGAGGTGAAGTTGCTGATATATTCTCTGCATACCAGAACTCAGTATCCTCAAAAGATTCCAATATTTCCTGCAAACAAAGTTTTCGTGCTTATCAGCCACACGAACTTGATGAAAAACCGAGTTCTTACATGCAAGAGTTGCGGTGTTTCTTACTATAAGCATTGTGTCCAGCTTCTGCAGTGCCGGGAGGTTTATATAGATATCCGACCTTGGTCTGCTTTTCATCATCTGATAGAGAACGCGATATCAAATATAACGAAAAAAACAAGTGTCGTTAGAGTTAGTTATTATTTAGCTCGGCCGGCTCGAGCTAAGCATTGAAAAAATTTGTCGACATAAAGGATCACGGTTCAAACCAGGCGAAGGAGAAAATACTGACATAATAACAACTGATATACTAATCGGCAAACGAATCTCACCTCCACAATTGTGCCATCTTCTAAATATTGCGCAGTCGGGGCGAATTCTTGTATGTAATCACACACTGATAAAAGAACCTTTATTTCTCTTTTCCACATGGCTTTCTTCTCGGGATTCAGCGGCTCCAACTTTAAACTCTGTCCGAATACCGTTGCTGTAGAAATTCAAATTCAAACAAGTTCAGTTACAAATCATTCGACAAACTAATAGCATTTCGATTGTTTATCACATTATGATATGGATAATGTTATAAGCATAAAGGAATTACCATAGAGATTTGTAATGGCATTGGAGATTATAACTGCTGTGCTAACACCTTTTCCTCCACCAGACATGTCTTCTCCTAGCAGAAGCTTAGCGAATCTTTCCTTCATCATTTCAACCTCACCTGATTAATGTAAACAAAACTAAGTTTTTAAGCTCAAATATTTTTCTAACAACAATTGATCTAAACCTAGGAATTGAAAAGGGAAAAATAATAACATGATGAGAAATGAATTATTCACCTTGTGATAGAGGGCTTTCTAGGAATTATCATCATTAGCAGCCTTCCGCATCAAAGAATTAGTCATCGAAAGACGAAACAAACTCGGATAATACAAATAACTAAGCGTGTGCGTCGTAATCTCAGGAACAAGCTACTCCCATCATAGAACAACCACTTCGAGGATCCGCCAACACAATCGACGCATGAGAAGGACTGGTCTCCATCATTTTCGCAACACTTCTGTTCAAGTAAGGCACAAAATCTTGAGAATCAGAGAAAGCGCGGTTGCAGTTGTTGAACGGCGGCATGAATCTGGTGAGTGAAAACCAAACGAAAATCGGCGCTGGCTCCGCCACTGGAAGAGATGAAAACAAAGAGATGATCTCTAAGGACCATACAAAATCGATTTGGTATAATTTTAGGGTTCTTCATTCTGAACATTTGGTATAATAGAGAGAAAGGGGATAAAGGAATTAAGAGGGAAACAGGAAAAATAAGAGTGGGAAAATAAATTTTGAGATATTATTTAGCCTCAGCAAAACCGTGTCTATTATATAATAAAAATAATTATAAATTATTAGCCTCAGTTAATCCCTGTCTATCAGATAAAGGAATGTTATTTTAAAGGAATGTTATTCGCACCCTCCTTGCTAATACAATTCCGGAACTTATAGACGTGATATTTTTACAGTTCTTTGAGTTCAAAATCATGGCTTCAAGACTGCCTCTTATTCCATCAAAAGCACCTCAAAGGAAATCAAAGCTAAAATGATAAAATATGAATTCTATATAAATTTGAACGGACAAAAATATTTACCATGGTATTGAATAAAATGATATCGTCTTGACTCCAAAGTTTCAAGTTCTTGTTGCTTAAGATCATTCTAACAACATAATAGAAAGACCTTAAAACAACAGTTGGAATCAGAATCAAACCTTCAATATGTACAAGTACAAATGTCTCCGAACTTTCTAAATATTTTTCATATCGTATTATAGGCACGGTCTTCCTTTGAATGATCAATAGTCAATAGTCCAGTATAGAACATTATCTCCATCGTCATATGGCACAGGCTGCTGAAACTCATTCCCTTAACCCAGATCAAAATTTATGTTCTTCACTTTGAAAATTACCAAGGTTGTTTCTGTTCTCCGTCCAAACCATTATCAATTGGAAAAGGCCCTGCAATCCAAAATTCTCCAATCTTGTTGGCAAACAATTTGTTTCTGTCATCATAATCCTCAGCTTCAAAATCCAAATCTTCAAATATATCCTCAAAACCATCATCATAACCATCTTCAAAATTATCAATCTCAATATCATCATCAGAATCAACATCGCTCTCGTTGTGCTTTTGATTAACACCCCTCACCCTGCCAATATTTTTATCAGCCCTAGCCTTCCTTCTCTCATTTCTCATTCTCTTGGACTCCCTCGCCAAGTCCATCCATTTATCCTGTAAGGCTAAAACCTCATCCTTCTGTAATAAGTTACCCTTCTCATCAAACTCCTCCACTAGGAAAACTGAGTCCCTTTGCCCTTTTATACTCGTATAAAATAATTCTGGGTGCCTCACAATCAATCCTCTCAACTTGTTTGGGAGGCCAAACTCCTTTCTGAAATGGGTCAAGTGGTCTATTAAAGTCCTCTTTGCAATCGTCATTCCAAGAACCTCTCTAATAACAGCACAACATCTCTTTTCTGCCTCAATCGATTCCTTGGCCAAACTCTCAGCGGGGCAGCTATAGGGGCACACTTCTGGCATTTCTTCAAACTTTAGCAAGAATTCCTGGTGAGGCCTCTTTAAATTAAGCCCCTTTCGAAGTCTCAATTGCTTGAACTTCAAAGGCCGGTCAACTATTAAATCACGCGAATGGGACTCGCGAGGCGGTAAAGCCTTTGCCAAGTCAGTATCCCATGATACAAGTTCAAGTGCACTGCCATATGAAGTGTTAACAATCTTGAATTTGTCTGGATGGTCATTGCACAACCGGGCTCTGAAATTAGGGGGAAGACCAAGATCAGGAGCAAGATGAACCAGTTTTGCCAGAAGCAACCGGCGGTGAGATGATAGCATAAGAAGTTTTTGGAGTTTGTTCGCCAATACTGTCGAAATTGAATATTGAAGATTTAATTCCTCGGCCGCAAGGGCGGCTGCAGCAGGAGTTAAACGAACACAGAGCTGATGATATGACTTTGTTGCATTGAGAGGTAAGGCTGGCCATGGGATAGTAAACTTTTCAAAAATAGACGGATACCGATGGATCATAGAAAGCAAGGACCGAGGCTTGTGAAGTGAAAGATAAGACCTGCATTTGGATAGAATGTGAATTGGAATGTAATGTTTTGGTTTAGAAAGAAGCAAAGTTTTCAGTTTCTGAACAAACCGGATTCTGTTCTTCATGACAACGTGTCTATCTAGGGTGTGGTCGCGTACAGTTTTAACAGAAGAACATGAAATCGAAAGAGAGCGATTTTTGAGGTTACATGTTTTTGGTTTTCTATTGATGGAAAAGTATGAAGGTGGAGTTCCAGAGAGAAACGTGGAAGTTAGGGAGGTTACAGGTACAAGATTGGTGACTAAGAAAGGATGGCATAATGCCATTTTTAAAGCCTTAACCAAGAACAACACAATGAGCCTGAAAATGAATTGAAAACAAAAGGGAAAAAACTGCAATGAGAAAACCCTAATATCAGAAGTTCACAGTTAAAGTGTTGGTTCCTATCCTATTGAATTACACAGTAAGACTAATTAGAATGAATAAAAATAAAAACCCTAAAATCAGAAATTCACAGTTAAAATGCTATGTTATGGCAAAATCAAGGATAATTGATACAATGGCGACCTTTAAGCTAAGTACTTAATCGGAAAGTTCGCGGCGGTGCGGAGGGGAGAGGCCGCTCGAGAACGACACGGTGCGTGTAGCTGCCGTCTCGGAGTTTCGCTCCGCTACAACGGATTAGTAGAAAATGGACAGAGAAGCTTGAAGAAGAGATTAAATCACAATACGAACCAGTGGAGTGCGTGAAACTACAGTGAAGGCTGCAAGATTAGTAGAAAATGAAGAACTCGAACTTTGCAGAGGGACATGTTGAAATAAAAATAATGGAAGGAGTAAAAGCTAAAAAGAGGATAATTTGAATAGAAGACAATCTGTATTAAAATATTATAAAATGGATTCAATGAATTTTATTATTTATTTATAGGATATTTCTCTTTTATTTATATAATTTAAAAAAAAAATATCTTTTTATTTTTTTTGAACGGGTGATATTAACCTCAACTTATCATCAGAAATGGATCACAATACCTTATCTCAAAAAAAATTTTAGCCGAAAATACTTATGACATTTTGTTAATTAAAACGTGTTCAATACAACATGGTATTTCTATCAATAATTGAAAGTTAGCTAGTGATGTGGCCGCGTTTGTTGGGTTATGAGCAATCTCGTTAGTCTTCTAATAAACTCAACATTAGAGTTAATATAATAGGTAGATAACTAATAATTGTTAGAAGATCAATAAGGGGGTTCAACGCATTGGAGTATTTTTACATTCTTTAGCGTTTTTTTTCCAACGTGGATAATGTTAACTTATTAAAGGTAGAGTAATGTTAATTTGTATTTTTAAAGTTAAGAATTAAATGTAAAAATATTTTTTTTAAAATTATGTATTGTTTCATCAAAAGCTTGTAATTAATTTTTTTCCTATTTTTTTTAATACAAATTTTCTATTTGTAAGTTTCTTAATTTATGTTTTGTTGACACAAACTAACATTTCCCTTAGAATTATTTATTATATATAATTAACACATGGGACACAAAGAACACTTTCTTATCTCACATTTTTTACTTCACTCACCTCACTTTTATATTAACTTTAGTATTAAAGTACTAATATTACAAGTCAATCTTTATTTCATTACATTGAAAACTCAAACTCATTGTTATAATCTACATCCACCACCGATCAATTCTAATTAGTAAAGAATAAATAACTTTAATAAAAATAAATTTTAAATTTAAATTTATTTTAGATAAAATAAAATAAAAAATAATATAATATATTTACCGATTAAAGTTACAAAAAGGGTACCGAAGGGGTTTAGCAAGAATTGAATAATCCAATAGTAAAAGCATTGGTAGACATTATCCAAATTATGTAAGAAAAAATATAAACTTATCCAAAACTAATAATGACAATTTTAGAGTGTACACGTAAGATGTCCTCAAGCAGGAAAATATCGTGAATGACGACGACACAGTTAATTAAATAAGTTTAACAAAGAAACCCATCTCACTCCATCTTCTTCCTTGCGATTACACTTCTAATACTCTAACCTCCAGTCACTCATACCAAAAAAAATGACTCTATTTTCCTCTCTGCAAATCACCACCACCGTTTCTCTTCAATCTTTCAATCCCTCCTCAACTATCTTCCACAAATCCTTTTTTCCCCGTTTTGCAACTCTACCATCTCTTTCTCTCAATAGATTCGTCTCCTCTCAAAAATCTCGAACAACAACTACTACCACCACCCGTGCTTCTTTGCTTGAAACCCCCGTTCTATGGGTTGGTAGAATCTGCGTCTTCTATGCTCTTCTCAAGACTGGATTCGTTGGATCTCCATCAAACCCCTTTCTCTCAGATTTGGAAATTGGTAGTAATGGTGATAGTAATGATGCAGGTGACTTAGGGTTCTCTAAATGGACACAGGCCATACTTGGAAAACCAGGTATACCATTTGTAACTTGTTTATCTATAACCGTTTCTTATTTTTATATTTCTGAGTTTCGGTTTTTGTATCCATTATACTTGTGGTCAGCAAAGGAAGGAGCTAACGGAGGGAACCTTACGAGCAAATGGCATCCTACAACAAAGGGTACACTCAAAAGGAACTACAGAATCCCATCCAAATCTGAGGGGCGACGACTTCTCAAAGCCATTGCATCTCTGTTGTCGGAAGATGACCACTTTGTTGATGCCACTTCTCACAAGGTTTGCAATTCGATAGCAAGTTACTTTATTATAATTTTCTCTTATCTTCGAAAACCGATGGCACTAATTAACCATTGTAGGGTTGCCAAATCCGGCGAGAAAGTGCTCATGGAGAAAGTGTCTGTTGCAACAACGTGAGAGCTCTTTTTGATGAGCTACCAACTCCTCATCTCATTGTGGAGATCACTCCGTTTCCTGTTGGACCTCTTAGTGACAAGGATTACACTAAAGCTGAGAAGCTTGAGAAGGTTCTCAGATCTAGACCTTCTGTTTGAGCCTTCCTTGATGTTTCTCGTTTTCATGTATATATTCTTTGCTTGCTTGTAAATATCAGCATCACGGAGAAATTGGTAAAACATGTTTTACATTTGAGTCGAATCATAATCACTTCGTACGAACACAAATAGCCTATTACCTTACTTTTTAGAGGATCTGTAGAATGAATGTCTCGTATATAAGGCATTGAGTTGAACATTTAAATGCATCTCATAAACTCTTTAATAGAGTAAAAAATATCACAAGAATTTATAGAAGAGCTACTAATAGACAAAAAATAAGCTCTTCATAACACTTAATTCTCTCAAAATCAATTCTATTCCCTCTGCCTTAAATTATATAGCGTAAGTAGTTGTATCTATACAGTAAACAATGCATTAGAGAGGTTTATAGGAAAAACAAGTTGAGTCACAATGGACTCACTTGACCACATTTATAATTTTTTTTGAGATATATCTCAAGAACAATTTAAATCTTAAATGGTCAGAACATATCTCCCATAGTCCATTTCCATTCGAATATTTTCGGAGATGCATTTATGTGAAATTTCGGGAGATACATCTCTTAAGTGTATTAGGACAATTTTTTATTATAAAAAATACATTGTGTATTTGTTCGCAGATGAATTATAAAATAACAGACAAATCAAAATAACATAACAATATAGTAATAGGATGTCATATGTCATGAAAATCCAAAATATAGTAATAATGTCAGGAAAAACGTAAAAATTATAGTATTGAAACAAAATAAATACAGACAACTAATGGGTGTGTCTGATAACCTCTCATCTGCCTCCTTTGTCTGGTTTGCCTCCTCGGTCATCGATCTCATTGTTCTCACGCGATGTTTGTGGTACAAAGCCTTCGCAATAATGACATTCAGTACTCGCATGACACAGACTCCTCAGAGAAGATACCTTCCCTAATGCTTGCTCGCGCCATATCCACTATGCGACGACAACGAGGCAAGACATCCTCAGTATGATTGGATCATTCGGCGCTATGGTAGCCTGATCATCCTCTGATATCAAATGACTCCAATAATCAACAAAAATCTCCTTAGTGTACTCATCCCAACACGACTAGCAAACAATGCGCGATAAGTGTTAGAGGATCCAAGCCTGAAATGAAAATAAAAAGCAGGGATCAAGATTTATCGCAGATATGAAATGAAAAAGATAAAAAAAAACATTCAAGGATAAAAAACTATTACCACTAGTAATGTCGTGCTGCCTATGGTCTGCTTCGTCGTTCACCAACATCCATTTCTCAGATTCAAATACAAATATGCAAGGCAAGCCGCCTTCCAATTATACTTATGGATTTGCGTGAGATCCAAGAAGTACCGAAGGTATGCAACGTCAGTGTAGGTGGCACTCGTGTTCACAAAAATTACAGTGCCAACAAAAAATAGAAAGTATGACCTCTGTCGCACCTCGAAAAATCACGGAGACATTTCGGAGAAATGACCCTCGCGCGAAAGGTGCGGTAATGCGGTTCGACAGAGTCGCCACCGAACTTTATTTTTCCCGAATAGACGGGAGAGGAAAATATTGAGAAAACCTCTTAAAACGAAAAGGATAGGAACAAGGCTGTCGCAACCAAGTTCCGGGTTCGGGAGTCGGTTACGCGAGGGGAAGGTATTAGCACCCCTCACGTTCGTTGTACTCAACGGGAACCTCTTAGGGTATTGTGGAGAGTGTTGTCTAGGTTTACTTGTTTTCTTCTCGATGATAAAGATAGAATTGGTAGGGTAAAAGGTTTAAGACGCTAAGGGGATATGGGTGGTTAGAGGATAGAGTGCTCGCCAAGGATTGGGGCTCTTGTGCCTACGTATGCTCATTCAGACGAGAATGAGAAATCAGAGCGTCGTAGTTCGACTACGGGAAAGGTTGGGAATGTGTGGATGGAATAATGGAGAAAGATAGAAGTGTGCTTGCCAACATCATCGCAATCTTGTGCCTACGTATCTTATATTCAAGAATGAATAAAGAATCAGAGCAGTCGTAGTTCGTGGTAACAACCACGAAAAGAAACGAGATTTAAAGTTGAGTTTGAGACGAAAGAGTGACTGACAAGCAACCCAAGAGCGTGCCTCAAGAGCTTGTCACTCAAGAATTCAAGGAATGCGAGATCCCAAGAACTCAATTCTTTCAGAAATTGGATTGAAAAGGGTTGGGCATTTTGAAATCGAAACAATGAACTAATAACAACTCAAGAGCGCGCCTCGAGAGTTACTCATTTCAATATTCAAAGGATGCTAGATTCTAAGAATATCCCTCTTTCGTAAGTTTTAAAAAAGTGTTTTGTAAAGATTGGATCGAAAATG